GGCACGAGAAGTGCAAAAACGCATAATCGCACCGGCCCGCCTGGTGCGTTCCAGCCTGGGTTCTAACTTTACCTAGCTAATGAACCAAGAAACTTTCTTCCAAAGGCAAAGCAGCTGTGCTAGTGACCTGTTAGCAACTCAGCACTTCTTTTGGGGAGGCCATCGCTGTTTTGGGCAATACAAATAACTGCGACTTTCTTGTCTTTTTCCCTCGTTTTCTAAGCAATAATGCAGAGGAAAATTTGTTTCCAAAAATGTTAATAAAGAATTTGAAAATAGATATGAAAGAGAATCTTAGGACAATGCCAAGACAAAAACATTTGAAAAAATTTCTAGACAACTAAGATGAAAAATTTAAAGACAAATAAAGATAATTAAAACAGAATCTCTTAATACATCAATCAGAAAATATTAACATAGAATTTCAAAACAAATGCGACAAAAACCTTAAGGCAGCACTCAAAATAAATATTACAGAAAGTTCAGAAACAAATTAAGCTTCTGGACCGAAAATTTTGCACGAATAATAAAGACTTCTACTTCACTGCCACAACCAGAAAATTAAGACCGCTTGGCAGTGGGTGTGGATATCGCATGCTAATGATATTACTGGAGGCTCGCATATGCGGGATGCAGCCTTTATGAGCTATAAAAGAGTTCAATTTTCATGCCCGTGAGAATTTTCGGAGATTGTATTAATTAAACTTTCCAAGAAAGAAATTTTTTTCCCGTAGAAATTTTTCGACTCTCTCCAATTCTCCCCTCTTTTTGAACTCACTCGAAAACGTTGAGTAACTGTAGAAACTTCAGCATATGTGTACTTCACAAGAGGTTCGCATGTAATATGCATAGTGTAGATAATAGGAAATGATGTACAGATACTGGAAATGCAGAGATTATGTTGTCGGCGTGTCGTACAACTGACATAACACTGAATGTACAGTATTTACATATGTATCGAAGACAGTTCCGAAAATAGCTACTCGTCCCGTGATCTAGTATTATCATAATAAGCGCACATTTCCGTTTGGGCAAAATTTATCGAAAGCATAACAGCATAATTTGCACAATTCTCAGGGGTGTTATCAGGATGGACATGAATAGTCGGGTGAATGTGAATACTCTTACCATGATAAGTGCTGGCAGTTGTGGAAGAGACTGATGTAATGGATAAGTTGGAAAGAGTTAATGAAGGGATTCTGGCCGCCCCACTCGACTCCGGGAACTGAGATGAGTTTCACTTTCACGCAAATGGAAGTGCTTGAGCCTCTGCAAGTGCCTGGAGGCCTTTCCTCCCTGATGTATTCGCCATTTCGGATTGATGCAATGAATGCAGTAGAGCAGCAGCAGCAGTTAGCAGTAGCAGCAGCAATCCCAGCCTTTTCACTCAGTGGGTGGTTCCCAATCGTTGTTTCCGATTCTCCTTCTCTGACACCAAGGAAGTAATCCATTTACAAGTACCAACAGCCCATTTCTTCTTTCTTTTCGAAGACAAAAAGCTAGCAATGAAGTTTAGAAGCACTAAAAAGTCTTTGCCTCATAGTGGTTTTTTCAAAGAAACTTGAGAATTCTTTCAATCAACGGAAAAATGTTTATTCCGAAAAAAGTGTCCGGACGGTGTGATGCATCGGAAAGCAGCACTGCTGTCGTGCAGTAGCTCGAGAGTTCGATTCCACAGATGGAAAAACCCTCGGCTATTCGTTCATTCGTTTCAATGGTAAATTGGTAATGGCACATGAAAGGGCTTGTTTCTGAGCAACTCGCGACAAAAGCAGTCGTTGACAGTCTTGTCAGCGAGTAATTGCTGTTGGCGCTTGCCACTTCTGAGGCTACTTCCGAATCTTAACTGCGGTAAAGGCTTTAGCTTTGATAATGTTATTTAAAAAGCTAAAGCAAGCAGTGTTTCATGTGTTCCATTCCGATCGTTCAGAAGCGTTATTCAAAAGCCTTTAACTAAAGCGCTAAAAGATATCCGAAGAGCCTAAATAAGATTCTTGATATATCGTCAAATATGCTGCCTTCTTGTCAACTCTTCGACAAGAGATGAAGGCGGAGGGAGCTTTCCTACACCTTTTCCTAGCTTTATAAGGCATATTGGAAAGCCTGTTGAAACAGGTGGTGCACATATATCGAATGGCCGGTTGATACCCAGTGAAGGTGTGCAACTCAGGATTGAAGGAGCCGGCACAACTGTGCCCAGCATGCGGGAACACCCCAATAAAGTCACACGGAGACTCATTTTCAGCGCCAAATTTTTTGATTTATTTTTTCCTCCATTCCAACGTCTTGCTCTCACATTTCTGGTGCCTCTAAGATTAAGGCCAGTTGGGGTCTTTTTTAATCAAATCGAATTATACCAATTGGTCTCAATTTAGTTGACTAAAAAGTTTTGTGAAAAAAAGTTATTTTTGCTTAATTCAGTTAAAATCGAGATAGCAAAGTGCTTATGCACACCACTGGGAATAACAAATGCCAAATTTAGCGCTCGTCCTAGAACTCTTGGCCCTTTGGTTCCCAGTATCGTGGCCTTGCCAGTTTCTTAAAAAACGCTCAATCTTGGCCTTAGATAAGCTGCATTCAAGCAATATTTCACTCCCTTATATTCCTACTCCAATGCCAAAAATATTCCTACTCCATTATTTTTAAATTTCATGAAAGCACTGATGCAGCAAAACTGTTGAGCTGCCCATATTCTTCAGCAGGTGAGTTGAATTTGAGTCAAACAACCACAAATCAGTAACCAAGTAGCATGACCACATAAATTTCAACTCAGTTTTAAATCAATTATAACTTAATCTAAGCCTAGTTAGAGTGAAATATAACACACTCTTAAAATAAATTTGATGCTTTTGGTGAAATTCAATTTTGAGTTAAATTGAGACAAGTTCGACCATCCAAAGTACCGCGTTTGATCCCCCGATGTTGTCCCACAAATGAAATAAAAACAGACCTGAGATGTGGATAAAAGGAAGTACGTACCTCATCGCTGTCGAGAAGATGATCAAGTTCCCATGGATCACTTGTGTCACTGTTGGCTTGTGAACGCGGCGTTCCAAGTGGCGATGAATGTGCTTGATTCGTCATTTTCCTTATCTCGCTAAGCCTAAATTGCCGCCAACATATTTCCCCAGCAGACTCAAAGACCGTTTCGATTCACGATGTGAAATGCCCTGATGTAATGCGACTTAATGGACCGAAACATTCCTTTTCAGTTATTTTTCCTTGCTCTACTATTATATATTATAATAAACTTTTTTTTGTAAAATACGCCTATAGTAAACATTTTTTTCTTACTGCTGTACATTCGTCTAACTTCTCCACTCTTTATTGCTACTTGCTTGGAAATGTTCCAAAAATTATTCTTTATTACTGGTTCCTACCATAATTCGGCTGAAGCTGTTTCAGGCTTTTCTGTAAAAGTTCGCAACGACGCACCAGTTATTCAGATTGGTTTTTCTTGGACAGCGAGGTTCCCCAGAGTGGCGACGATATTTGGAAATGAACTGCTGACGTTAACATCTCTCAGCAGCTAAAGATTCTTTAGCATGCTTCTGCCAGGGAAACCACTGAATCGACAGTTCCTTCAGGAGAAGGAAAGAACGTCGAGATCACCGGAAGGCTAATCATCAGTTTGCAACATTGGCCAAAACAAACGTGAAGTAGAGAAGGAAAATGGTGTGGAGCGTTCTGAATATAATTAAGTGCTGAACTAACAGCTTTCTCAAGTATCAGATAATCATACTGGAGATGATGTACATTACCTGAGCTTAGTGGCACTGATAAAAATGATTGGTCAGAATAATTGGAAAAGCTATCAGTTGCATAGCTGAACTATGAACTGAGGATGATCAAAATATTAAAGTATAAAAAAAATGAAGAGAAATTACATTCGATCTGTGTTTACAGCTAAGGGATGAAAAGCAAACTTTCACAAGGTACCTAAATTAATACACTAAACCCTTCCTGATATTTGGTAAATGAAAAATCTAGCAAGAATATTGGTAGGAAGCAAGTGAATTGGAAGTAACTGATTTGTTGAAATGGGTGTTGAAACTGAACGAGCAGTGAAACTACCAGAAAACAAACATTCCATTCGTTTAAAAATAGCTATTCCCAATTTACTAGCGGCAATTTTCATTGCCCATTCTGGTAAAACCAATTTTCAAACACATCCGTCTACACCCTTGGACATAACTTGGCCCCTAATGATTTGCTCTGTTGCGTGCACAGTTTTTTCCAGTTTCACTTGCATGTGCCGGCGCTTCTTTTTTTGAAACAAAATTGCTCGGCTATTCTTTCACGTCTTCGCCATAAATTTTAAAAAAAATTATAGCACTCAAAAAAGAAGCTTCAAATTAGCACTTTTGTGTGGCAAAATGGCATCATTTTTCCACCTTTCTCTGG